GACTTCTCAACTCTATTGAACCCCAGCTAGTTCCCACTGACACCATGTTGTTGACCCCTGTTCTGGTTATGCTAGACAAAGCAGAATTCTTTATAATCAGGCACAAGATTGTGCTTCTTCAAAGGTGTCTAATAAAATCAGGGATATGATTGAATTATGTTCGAAATGCAACACAATCAAAATATTTTACTAATATTTTTCATTAATTAATACCCTCTCACAATTTTACAGTCCTTGACCATTTCATTATTTTTAGCTACAAGATACCCATCCAGCAGTTAAATAAAAATGAAATGTGCTGTTTTAGCCAGGCTGCACAGAAGTGGGACCGAATTATCCACTGGCAATATTATGATTTGGCAGACTTTACCTTCATAGAAAAGACTTTTTGTCCTGTCTTCAGGCGGCATCCTTCTACTGTGACAAGATGGGCTTTGAGCCTCTGGCCTACAAGGGCTTGGAGACTGGCAGCCGAGAGGTCGTCTCACATGTCATCAGGCAAGATAAGGTACGGCAGCTTGAACAACCTGAAATCACAGATTTTAAGCTACATGTCCAACCTGTATTTTGACTCTGTTCTTGACTCCAAACAGATCATATTTGCATTTGATTCTCCACTCAATCCTGGAAATGAAGGCAAGAAACTCGTGAAGGCATATGAGAAAACAGTAGATAAAATATGAAATATTACCGTAATATCAACATGATGGCATGTCCTGTCAGAGATGGGAGCGCACTTGATGAAGCACGGAGATGGCGCCAAAGACATCGCGTTCCAAGTGGAGGACTGTGACTACTTAATCAAGGTAAAATGAGGTGCATTTGAACTGTTACAAATTACATCACATGCCAGAAAGCCACAGCACATTCTCTGAAACGTCTCTAAAACTCTGCAAATACTAACCGATTCAACTGGAGGCAAAGGAAACTTGGTGACTGAAGCAAACTCAATTGCCTGTCACATTACAAAACTTCGATTTAACATTCCAAACTATCATACACGTGTTAAAAAAAGTTAACCACTGTATAATAAAGCAAATATAAACCTAAAATACTGTAAATTAAAAACTACTCACCCTTTGAAGATGCCTGATTAACGACGGTGTAAGATTTTTCCGCATCGATACACCTAGTGGTCATTTATAGGTACTACTACAAAGAATACAGTCGGTTGGCAGCATTTAAAAAAAAACATCTTAATATTTTTTCCCACACGCTAACATTTTACCGTTTGCTGGCGAACTTAACTGGTCATTTTTAAACTAATAACAAATCATCGGGCATTTCTGTTAACACCCGGTTGATAAATTGATGCATTGGCACCCTGTTTTATAAGTTTAAATTCATTCCATGACAAAGCTCGTAACTCAGTTTACTTTTTTTTACTTTAATCGATCGCCATGTCTCAAAAACTTGTAAGATGGTATGTTCAGGTAGAACTATTTCTAGTTTTGTGGCTGTCATGACACGTTTATCTTCCGTGATGGCACCAAAGAAAAAAAAAGCGAAATTAATTAATTAATTTCATTGAGTTGCTCTTAACCAAGAATTGATTTTGTTTTGAACTTTTTGCAGCGTTCGACTTCGAAAGTGTCATTGTTTTTACACAAGGGTTATGGTAAATATAAAGACGTGTGTGTGTGTGTGTGTGTGTGTGTGT